GCGACGATTCCACTTTCGATTCGGAAACATCTCGTACTACGCTCCGGAGGATCAACGAGGATCAAGTTTATAGAAATCCTCGGTGAGGCAGACCAATTTCTCGAAACTAGTGTTCTCGATTATATGTTTAACGACACGTCACAGATAAAACGCTCGAGTGAACCATATCGATAGACTTTACTTTATCGTTTCATAGACGCGAATTTTGCTATAAACATACGAAGCGTTCGAGAGACGACAAAGCCGCCATAAACATCGCGAAGTTGCGATCTAACGGACTGGTTTCCTTTGCTGAAAAATTGAGATTGAATGGATCGGATTAAAGACGTACTTCACGGGATCGCTGGAAAATGGCGGACTTATCCGTGACCGTTTTATCGATTGTTGGATATTCTAGTATCACGTTGCATTATCAGCCATCAAATTATATACAATTAAAATAATTTTCCTAAGGAGACAGAAAAATGAACATTTCTCGTGATTGCTCTCTTGATTTTTTTAAATTTCCTAGCTTCAATGAAATTTGATCGGTTAGATATGTCAACGAGAAAATGAATTTTTGACCTTTTGAGAACAAATCTCGCCATCTTGGTAGAATCCAAAGTTTCAAAGAAATAACTGAATTGTTCGAATAAAAAGAGATTGTTATATTTTTCTCTAGCATTTAGGAGATCGATATGTAAGTTAACTGTCTTAGATCAAAGTTTTGAATACCTCAAAAAATTCTCGTTCGCAGAGGGGTGAATGTATACAACAACCGATGTTATCGGAATTCGGTTGACACAGTGCTTACAGTGTTAATCGAAAGGAAAAGCGAAGACAGAGAAAATAAACTGGAAAATAAATAAGCATCGCCGGCGAAAGGTGCGGTGCGTGACGCCGATACCGATCGCTCGGTTCGTGCTCGGAGCGTGATACAACGGCGAGCAAACAGCGATCTTCCGAGAATACGAGTTAAGTCCCGACAAATCCGATTTTATTGGCACGGGATTCTGGAATCGACGATTAGAGAGCCTATTGTAAATTATTATTGCACGGCGAACGACGATGCAGTCTCCTAATAATAAAACGTAAGTCTGAAATAGATCGACGGGAGCTGCGATTTTCAGAAAATAAACGTGGCTTAGACAGTTTCGATTTATTGCAGTTTCGCGTTATGGGTTTCAAGCGATTCGAGTTTTTCTAGGGGATTCCACTGAATACTATTGGAGGCTTCAAAACGATACGTTGACGAAACTGATCTTCGATAACGGTCGATTCGAATCTCTGGATTTAAGAATAAATCAGTGGAACTTGATTCCAAGATTCCATCGACTTCGATTTATTTTTAATATCGTTTAAGTAGCTTCAAACGTAAAACGAGCTGACGCTCGTAATCAGCAGAGTACATTCTCGAATTTTATATAAAATTATAGATCTTTGTAGACTATTTTCATTCATGAAATCACGCTCGTGCGTAATTTAATCTAAAATTTATCGCGATGGAATATTTCTACATTCCTCTCAGAAAAATTCCGAAGCTTGTAAACATTTCGTTGAGATCTAAGATAATTAAGTTTTGATCAATTGTACAAAGTGGTTTAGATTAAAATAACCGATCGATTAGAGATCACCAAGCTCCATTACACACATTAAATAATTGAATGTGTGCTTATCTGTTCAACGGGGGAACGGAATAATTCGGAACAAGCTTCTCGAATGAGACGGTACATTTTTTTCTTATCGTTTACCCGATGTTTCTACTCAATCGCCGAGAATGCATGGCCTGATCGATTTTTAACGACGCAGAACATAACCTCGCCGTCTCGAGAGTCAAAGATAAGGGAAGATTCAATGGTGGTAGAAATTTTCTACGAGATCTCCTCGATAACCTTTTTATTTGTTTCAATGTTTGCAACTGGTTCTTTTGTCATCGTAACGTGAACGGTCTGTGGAACCTAATTTGTTTCAAAATTTGCAACTGGTTCTTTTGTTATCATAACGTTCACAAATAATGTCAAAGTGTGCAACTGGTTGTTTTTTTATCGCGACATTAACGGTTTCTGGAATTCGAAGAAGATTATCTGATCGATCCGTCGATGGATCACTTCGACAGATGTTATGTCATTGATGACATAACACGGGAAAATAAAAAAGAAACGTCTCGGCGATCGCGAATGTTGCAGAAATCACGACTCGAAATCTAAACAATCGATACGTGGAACGAGGAAAATTTTTTCCAAATCTTCGTTATTTTATTGTTTACCTTGTCAGTCCTATTGTTGATATCAAAGCTAACTGGATATCGTAACTATGTTCCAGAAATATTTTTAATAATTTTATCTTTGAAATTTGAGATTATAATTTGGCAAATATTCTACATGTTTCTATAGAGAAGTTAACATTTTCTTAGAAGAAGAAAACGGCTTTTTATAAGAAAATTATTGAAAGATTAGAAATGTGTTTATTTCGTATTTTACTTAATTATTATTAGATCTTTATTTGAGTTCCTACAAAACAAAGCACGAAAATATTTTAATGAAGTTCATGAATGAAGTGTACAATTAACAGTTAAGAGTCATTAACAGTTTCTTGAGAGAACACCTGACCTAATCTACAATCGCACGAGTGTTAATCTCCTCCAGAATTTAGATAAGGGACGGACAATTGTTCAGTTTATTGGATCGTAATATAAACACGTTCCGATATACTGAATTCCTTTTATGCTGTTAGTTTCATGGCGCAGTAAAATAACAGTGCTTAGCTTAAATTAATCAGAAGCGGCTTCTTATGCATCACAGTCATGCGCATCTTCAATTACTCGTAAGTGATACTATATCTATGTACCATGCAAAATAACTAGTTTTAATTCTCTTAATTCGCAAACAGTGATAGTATAGAACCGTTAGACGTTTAAAATTATTTAATACAATTAATTATTTCACTTAAATACTATAATAGATGTCATCAGAAATTAGAATTGAATTCTTATAATTTTTTGTTAAATTCTCTATTTTTCGTTAAACTCTTGGAATTGGAGCATGCCCGTAGTCGCGATCGAACATATTTGTTTTACTAGTAGTTAATAACTCGCTATTATTTTGGAAGAAAGATAACTCGCGGTCGATAAGGAACAAACGGACTCGCGTCTTTCTGAAATCGTCGGAAGGCCGAGGATTAAGCGCCATCCGCATGTTTAATATTTATGGAACACGTGAACGATTTACATGCACCCGCGCGGACTCGCGTTGCATAACTTGACGCGCGTAGTCAAGTATCATAATTTATATCGTGTAATGCCAGCACGGCGCGCAGATAATATAGATAATACTCATCGTGGCTAAATGTTTTATCAATGATGCGTCTTATCACGACGTTTCGACCGTTTCCTCTTTGTCAGATGTTCAAATTGCCCGCCCAAAATGGCGTTTCAATGGCCGCAGACAAACGTCGCTTAATATTCTTAAACTTTCTTCATCCTTTGCGAATGAGGATTTTTAAAAATGTCGAAAGGATCTTCTATAGAAAATGAAATTTTATATCAAACTCTAAAATATTAGTAATGAAGAAAGCTATGTATATACTTTTGTTTATATAATTAAATTTTTGTAGCCTCAAAGGGTTAAAGAAATGATCGCTGTATTTGTAAATTAAGAGGAAAATTCTGATGTTTTAATAATAAAAACATGACTCTGCCGTTTTTACTGGCCTCTTTTAAATATTTTTGGACATTTCTTGATTGGCACAAGGAAGGTAAGTACCAATTTATTTACACAGTTGATTCCATTGTCGAATATTTTAATAGATTTAATGAGGAAGGAAATTTTATTGAATGTTCGATGAAGATTTTCTTTTTGTTTGTTATATTTTATACTTGAATTGTAACATGTGTTTATATGATATGGTTTTATCTGCATGTTCGTAATATGGTACAAATTCAGTGCGAATTTAAATTAACTAATTACTATTTATGAGATAATTATGCTTCGGAGTAACAAAGCATGCAATTGGAAGCATTGTAATGCTTTACTGCGAAAGTGGTAGATACACTACCCTCCAGGAGTTTGGACTGTAATTAATTTTCATTTAGGTACAACGTGAACAATTTGCCCCTGTTTCAAGATTAATATTGCTTGTCAAAGGCAATTACATTCTTTTTATAAATTACTACAGTTACCAGTAATTACTTAACTTCATTCATTCATTCGTTCACAGTGTAATTACAAACTTTTGGTTTGCAGTGTACGTTCGCTTCCTCATTGCAAGTTTCCCGAACTCAGTGAAACAAAAGATTCGTTCCAAGCCATTCAAATTATTCATTCACTTCACAAGTTTATTGCGTAATTGTTTAACCATTGGAAAGCAAAGCAATGACCACAGACCATTTCACAATCCAATTCGAAATTTTCAAATAAGTAATAAGTTTCAAAATTGTCATATCCTTTAGACACTTCACACTATATAAACACTGTAGAAACATTATTAGCAAAATAGCTTCACAAAACTTTAATTGTTACTTCTCAATATTCAAAGCCTATAGAAAAGAAGTTAACAAAACAACGTCACAAATCTTTACTTGAGACTTTTCAATATCCAAATTCTATAGAAAAGAAATTACCAAAACAACTTCACAATGTGCGCAATTGTTATTTCATAACACTTGTGATTCATTCCACACTAACTTTCTTTTGATAACAAAGGCTCCATCTGGCCGACAACATTTCGAAACAAACTTGCCACGTGTTTTCTCCCTTTATCGGCAAGTAAACCTATACTTCCCGCTAAAAGGGAATGAAAAAGGATCCATTGGAACGCACGGTATCCTTTCACAAGGAACAGCGTGCGTTATGGTTCAAAAGGGTTCATTTCTCTTTGCATGGATACCTACGACCGCAAAAAGCGCATAAAAGTTGGCGCTCGGTCCTTAGATCGGTGCCGAACAATAGGAAAGTTATTCAGCCGACTATCTCCCAGGTTATCTAATCAATTCGAGCGTAGTAGAAAACGGGAAAAGTCCGTACCTGATTGCGTGACACCGGCCGAAGGGAGGAGTCTCGATTCGGAAATAAAAGCCCATCCAATTCCTCCGCATTCCCTCTATCTTCATTCATTTTCAAAATGCTCGCTGATTTCTTCTCCATTTTGCTGATCACTTTTATTCTTCGTAATTTTCGATAAAATTCTACTATACGTTTATTTTACTGAGATATTTCGTTCCAGTCACACTAGTTTATTTACTTTTCTTTCTCTTTATTAAGATGAAACTTTATGTTTTTACTTCTGTACTTCGATAAATCTTCGCGGGTTTTTCTTTTACTTAATCAGTTTTCGTTTCCAAATTCTCAACGCTTCTAAATGTACTTTGTCGATATTCTTATCATTTGTGTTAAATTACTTCGTTACCAAAACCAAATGAAAATCTAATTTAACTTTAAATTACTTCTCAATTTCCTATTATTCTTTTGGCCACTCTATTCCAAACTCCCAACAAACTACTCTTACTATTTCCCTCCGAAATATCCTATTATTCACCTTAGAATATTCTTTTCATTATAAATACCAATGAAACTGCAATACTACTTTTATAAAATTAACGAGTCACTTCAAAATTAGGCAAATTGGAATCGTCACCATCGATCGACATTCAGAACCAACATTTCACGCGGATGGGTTAACGAGGAACGTAATTGCACTTGGTTTCGGTTGCGTTAATTGACGGTAGCCGTCGTTTTCACAGCGTCGTCGTCGCGCCGATTAGCGAAGCGGATCCGCAGCTTCGATATTAATTTCGTTCAGGCGTTGATGTTTGCAGTGGCCGGGTTGAACACGCGTGTAACGGCTGATACAGCAGGTTCGTGATCGCTCGCTCGCCGCGCGGGATCGCGGAACTGCGACGCTCTATCGGCGCCTCCGCGAATTTCCGTCGATCGGACGCTCTTATCGGACACTGATTTCAATGCTAATCGAGCCAAGCGGCTCAGCGACTCGCTCAGGAATCGCTGACGACCGCATTAATAAAAGAACGCCCCGGTCCGGCAAACAAGTTGTGCAAATATTTGGATGTTACGTCGCCGGATGGAAATGTTGGCCCGACAAGGAAAGACTCTTTCGTTGAAGGAGTTTTTTTTCCTTTGCGGCAGTCGGACATTAAATTGGATCGCAAACAACGCTGATTTGGAATAGACTTGTTAATTTATTGCGGGTTTTACGGTGTCGTTTCTGAGATTACAGCCAGGGTTGCTTAGTGAATGGATCGGATCGGCGAGTAAATCAATCGACTATGGGATTTTATGGGTCTATGATAATTGGGGATTGGAAGATGGGGAATAGATAATTAGATGTTTTGAAAGCTTAAAAATTTAAATACTTGAAAATTTAGAAATTCGAAAATATGTAAATTTGAAAATCTGAAAATTTAAGGATTTGAAAAATCTTACAAATTAGGTCACAAAAGAAATTTCTTGATGTTTCATGACGTTAAGGTTGATGATACGTTCTTCAACAATTTACCATCAATAGTAGTGAATTCTAAATGTCATTTCGAAATATACTACGTGTCTTGGAAATGAAAATGTCGCTACCAATGCTTAGAATACTACTAGTATAGGAAACTTCTAGAAGAACGAACATTTAATCGAATGTGAGCTACGTAGCTCCGAAGGTTTGTTTACGAGGGTCTCAGGAGATCCATCGAAAAGAGAAGTAGGTTGTCAGGTGATCAGGTTATAGTCGGAATGATTTGTTGCATTTCTGACCTAGTTTCCAAGGGAAACAAACTTTGCTTCGCTACTTCAACGTGACTGATAACTTAGAGCAAGTGTCTCGTATCAGAGGAGGCTAATATTTTTTAGCGTCACAATTTTTTCGATTCGAGGATTTAAATGAAAAAAGGATACAAGTTTTATGTGCCCTGAATGAAATAAATGGCCGGACGTTATTAAAACATGAGTGTTTATTGAAGTAGCGTCCGGTGATCAATTCGGACGTGCTTGATGTGATAATGAGACTGTACGTGTATAGGCATAAAACTGTCCTTCGCCAACACTATTCGATCAGCACGAAATTCTCCACAGGATAAATCTACATTGTCGACCTGTGTATTGTCATGCATAACAATACTCTTGTATTGCTGTTTAATTGAAAATTATACCTTATGAATGATGCTGAGAATGACCGTTTATGGTAATGGTAACTCACAATAATACTTGACAGTGCAAGAAACGAATTTTTTTAATATTCATAACAAGCATTTTTCTTTTCGATAAATGAGTATGAACTGTAATTTAATTTCTTTTATGAAATGTGAGTAAAAAGATTAGATAAATAATACAGAAGGATTAAAAGGATATTTGAGATTATGTATTTATTATACATTTTACAATGTTCATAATGCATTTTATCAGTTGATCAGTTGATAAAAACGTGAATTAATACAAATATTTTATAATGATTTATTTTTATTTTTAATGCCTGGTAGGACTGCTGGTAGTAGTTACCGACAGTGTTAGTCAGGCACTCCTACCAGGCAGGCAACCCAACTTACACAGCGAATTGCATCTGCACTCTCGTAGGAGCAGAATTCTCCATGACGTAAAAATTGCATATGACTCACCAGAGACAACAATTCAAATCTTCACGTAATAACAATCTCCAAAACATCTTGTTACTTTAATAATTTTTAATACTTCAATTTCGATGCTTCACGACCACCACTACTATAGGATATTTCTTCGAAAAAACAGGAATAAAGAATTCTTGGCCCATTAAAATCTTAAAAAATTCAAATCGATCAACAAATTAATGTATGATATATAAAATAAAATTCCAAAATAAAATTCACTAGAAACGAAAAAACAGTTCAAGAATGCATTGAATTACCGTGAAGAATATCAGATTCAACAGGAAGCGAACAATCTGTAAAATCATTTTTTGAAACCATTTAATGGAACTATATATAACGGAAGAAAAAAAAACATTATTCCCGTTCTTTATCGGCAGCATTGTACCAGCCACACGCGAATTATTTTTTCTCCTTTCGCAAACGACATGGGCCGAGGTAACGGTGACGCAACGGCCTCGAACGAAAGTTACATAAGCATCCCTCGGTCTTTTCTCCGTTCCTCCACACTTTTGTCGTTTTCCTCTGTAGTAGGCTTTTTACAAGGGAACGTTTTTCCATCTCCGTAAGCATCTCCGCGGTTTTCACTAAGGGTTGCCCTTAACCAATCAAACTACGAGGACTCAATCTCCAGGTGGAACGGGAAAAACAAAAACTGATAATAAATAATGAATAATACAAGATGAAAAGCATTTAATCTTTCAAAAATTAAAGTTACCATTTAGCGTATCAAATTCGGTGTATAGTAAAAATCATTTCGAAGGCAAGTATTCTTTGCATCATTGATAAATATATAGACATTAAACAAATGTTTGCAGCACTTCTGAATTCCGTTTTATAATTCCAACATTTCTTCTAATAATAAATCAATTTTCAACCAAGGAAATGTCTCGAAAAATATATCTTTCACGTATTTATTAAACTCTTTAATGTATTCCATTTTTCGTACAATTTTGGTTAATTTTAGTGAATGTTACTCCGAATTGTAACCACACCTGTTAACCTTCGAACACCCTGTAGAATTGACGCACTCCTGCGAGAAGGAAAAAGATGGTTCGCTTCAACCGTCGGTATTTTTTTCCTAGAATAGTGGGTTACCCCGCTATCACGGTAAATTGATCGCGCGATTTTTATTCAAAAGAATTTAGCTGAAGCTCTCCACCGCTCGCAGTAATGATAATGAATTTCTCTTTGTGGAAATCTTTTCTTTCTACCGAACCCTTTTTCCCGGGTGAAGCATGAACTTTCTTCTAGCCGACTTGTTCCTTCTTTGACTCTCGGCGAGGAGAATGGATTCTTGGAGTTAAAATTCTCCTTTACCCTCGGTTCTCTCTGATTTTCTGGCTGATTTAATTATCGGGGCGATGTAGAATCACGGGACTGCGATTGCAAATTTTAATTACGTTATGCAGTAGGACCTCCTGTAACGTGATGAAAAAATCGTCGAAAAATAGCTATGGAAGATTTTCCATAAGAAATTGATAAAAACAGGACCAAGTTAACACTATACCTACCAGTCGGATCGAATTGACGTCAGAATGTTGATTTTGCAAGTATTTAAACTATGAAGGCGTTTTTGCGAAACATTTTCAATGAAATTCGTGTGTTCGCACAGATACAAGGCCAGGAGGTCCTTCGAATCTCAAGAAACGTATTGTTCTAATTTGATAAAACATTGGAAACAAGTCACTGTAATTGCTCGGTAGTTTTAGTGTTAATGCAAGTTGAACCAGCATCAAAAAGGGGAATTTAATGTGAAATTCGTAAACGGGAAATTAAGTACGCGGGACATTTTAATCGTTATAAAGGGTTCTATTGTAAAATATTCTAACGTTTAAAATAATGTAAATAAATGTCTTTACGTAAGTTGATGAATGTTTGTATTCTCTTCGTTTGATTGAAGCGTTTAAAAGTGTGTAAGTTTTTATGCGTGATTTTCTCGTATGTTTGAGAAAAGAATCCATAGAAAACAAGACTTTCCAAACAATGACTGATAATAGAGAGTTAGACGCATTTGTGGCTGAAGCTACTCGTATATATTATTATCCGAACGAAGGAAGAAGAGTTATGAAATAAATTTCACACACTTGACGCGTGAATAAATGGATCATGTACTTCATTCGTTTCACACGCTTCATATATTTCATGTGTTTCATGCTTCCTGTAATTCATACGTTTTCACGGTATATTTCTTACGTGCATAAGTCACGTGCATACATTCCATTCGTATCGAATGTGGTCCATTAAAAATATACCCTGTAAATTACGATTCTATAAAAATGACTATGTATAAAATACATCCTACAAGATCATGAAACTTCAAACTTTTGATTGTCCATAAACATTTCCACCAATTAAAATAATATTAGAAGGTATTTCTTCATTAAAGTACATTATTAAGTGTTTACTTTCGCGTAGATTATTTTATTTAATACATTCCTCCACATAACATCTCGCGAAGGAACTATCTCTCAACTCGTCGTTTTGTTTATCATTTAACAAATCATGCCATTAATGAAATAGATAAAAATCTAGCCGACGCTGAAAGAAGCAACCGGTTGACTAATGCAGCGGCGAATGAGTTTGCTTCGGGCTGGAATTGCTCTATGAGCGAGCAATCGTCGAGCAATCATCGGGCTCTCGCAAATCATCGAAACCGTGACGTCCGGACGAATCCTAGGCGTATATCGGAGCCGCGCCGAGGCGCAATAACGACGGCCGCGCGACGATCTTGGGAATGTGCACGCGTGTATGCACGCGGGACCATTGCTATGCTTCAGTTCAATCTTATCGTGCGGTCCGTTCACATCTCCTGGATACTCCAGTTACCATTTTAATCACGGTTACCAACGAGCACAGCGCACCGCGCCCGAAGAGCTTTCGGAATTTTCTCGGGGAAAAGTACGTGAAAGTGCGACACCGTTCGACGAATTGGTCCTCCTTTGACCGAGAAGATTCGTACCACTGACGTTGCTCCTGAATTATTTCCTCTCAAAAAACAGAGAGAGATTTCGACGATTTCTGTTGGGTAACTGAGACATGTTCGCGCAGTCCTCTGCCTGAGAGATTGTTAAACGAGCGTTTCGTTTGCCGAAGTGATTAACTTTACCGAATGAGAGAGAACAGTTCGATGGAATTGTGTACATAAAGAGCCAGTCAAGTGGTTCAGCAAATTGAAGAAGCTCAGAAATTGAAATTTGTAGTCTGGAGTTTGAAATTCGAAGTCTGGACTCAGAGATTTGATGTCTGAAACTTGGAACTCGAAATTTGAAGCTTGAAGTTTGAAGTTTGAAATTCGATATTTCAAGTTTCACACTTTGTAACTTGAGAGAAAGAAGAATTTAATCTCCGCGTAATAGAAAGAAGAAACGGACTTTCATCTTAATGAAGGAAACATGAAACAGCAAAGAAGAATAAATGAGTTCCAGTCTTCAGGAAAATTGAATAACCAATTAGTACGATTTCCTCGGAACCCATGACATTTTCCTTGTAATGGCCTGTTTTCGATTCGCTTCCTACTAGAACGTAAAATATTTCATCAAGATTTAGTGTCCATAAAAGCCAGCAAGACTCAGGAACACTTAGCTTCACTTTTTTAATCAAGAAAAATGATAACACTGTTTACGTTTTAACAGCCCCACGAGGAATCTCTTGAAAACTAAAGCCTGCAACATCGGTAAAAATTGAAGAAACAGAACCCCATTGCTTCGAGAACAATCGCAGTAACAATTTCCTGTTTGTATAAACAATCTATGGTCCTAGGGGAAATCAGAAGAAAATAATCGATGAGCTCGAAGTCCATAGGTTCAATCGGGGATCGATCCCGGAGAATCGCGGCGTTCTTCGATCTCGCGCAATCCAGATCGACCGAAATCGCCGATCGAGGCTTTATCTGAAGTCAGATAACCAGCTCGCGTATCGATTGCCCGACAGAAATCAGTCGGCCTCAGTATCCGGGGAGCAGTTGTACCGAGTCCTCGTGTAATCATTCATCATTCGATTAATTGATTCGCCTGCCCTAGGAGGAATTTAACACGTTGGTTGCCACAGTGGTCACTAATGACTCTCAGCTCCCTGATTGCTGGAAAACAATTGCAGTACGAAGATTGACGTCTGATAAGAATATTCAGTAACGTGAGTAACTGAATAATAGTAAAACGAAAGGACTGTGACGCCGAATTAATAATTATTTCTAATATCATTTAGCATAATTGGTACTTATCAATTGGTTACCATTTGACGTGTAACTCGCTTCTACAATTTTTCGGTTAATCGTGTATATAATCACTTAAATTATTTTGTATATGATATGATTTTATATGAATAAATTAAATTAAATGAAATCTTTGCTATGAAAGAAGAAACAATATTAAAATATATAAATTAAAAATTTTCGTGGGGCAGTCAACGTGTTAAACGAGACTCAAGCCTACCGGAAAGTGTGGAAGGATATTTTTTATTTCTGGATGAGAGAATCGCTCGAAGAGGAGAGCAAAGGAAAAAAATGGAACTCGGGGGTAACAAGGAACTCTCTGGATCCATCAGTAATAATTAAACGCGACGAAGAGTTCGTATATACAGTGTGATCGCGATCGATAGCCACGATTCCACGAAATATTCCGCGACAGGGGAAGAAATGATCGCGTCATCCGGGATCAGCTTACTGGCGGCGGGCGTCGCTTCCGGGATCTGCTTCCTTGTCTTCAGCGCTATCCTCAAGGGGTAAGTGAGCGAGAACAGACGTTTCACCGTTTATTTCCTTGGGGAGGGAGCCTTTAATCGTCAACTGAAAATGGGAACCTTCCTGTCGATGCGAAGTTCAACCTCAAATTGCTTTTTTAATGAATTATTCGAGATAATTAGTGGATTGAACTTCCGACGAATGTATATTTCAATCAAATGATACTTTATTATTGCTGATTGCTGATGATTGATGAGTTGACTGGACTGTTTATCTCAATAATTCTTTTCTGTTTATTGGAACAATCCGTATTTACATGTTCAAAAAGTTCAGTCATATTTTTTCGAATACTACATTGCCATAGATTGGAATGATATTAATTTTGATTGATTGGAATCGTTTATTTTATTTTAATAACAGTGCAAACAGGACAAGTGTAAACAAAGCTGCGAATAATTCGGACATCTAACGCAGATACTTCGAGTAATGAGTAACTGATTTATTCGAATAAATTGTTAAATTATTCATTATTTAAGAAATTATTAATGACAGACTGAGAAAATTTGATGAATCAAGGGGAAAGAACGCGAATAATTCGCGAAAGAAAAAGTGGAAGGAGACACCGATGAAAGGAACGAAATCGATTAAGATCCAGCCACGATTAGACGCGATTTCTAAATTTCACAGTGGACCACCACGCTGTCTATGTTATTTTCTAATCCCACGAAAGCTCGAAGTCCGCGCACGGACTCGTTTCTCCGGACAAAAAGTCCCCGAAGAGGCCTGAAGCGCGTCGCAAACAAGCCGAGCGTGTGTTCGCGCCACGTCACGCGTCATTAACGCCCATCCGTGATATCCTCAAGGCTCGAAAGTGAAGTTTTTCACTTCGCGTCCATCTAAGCGATCTCAAACAAAAATTATCTGCTGCTGGATCACGCTCGATAACGAATGAAGCCGGTGGAGATTGATATTTTATAGCATTTTCCCTTTCCTTGAAAAAACGAAGAGGAACATAGACAATTCTACTGGAAGACGGATATTATTAAACATCCACGGGAAATTTGAAAGTATAAGATTGCGTAGAATACACAGGATACGGTAACATATCCAAAATTTAGCTTTTTTCATAATGTTTGTTAGGGAAAATCGTTTCCTGTTGCAATTCGATTTTTTCAATTGCATTTTTAAATATTTGAATTTGCATTAATAGCCGATGAATAAATATTATTCTTATGTTTGATTCGATTGTTGAGAAGTAAAAATTCTTTGGTTGCAGTGCAGGATGCAATATGCATTTTTTGTTAGGTTTAATTACCATAGCCGATGCTCGACCAATACATTAAGCGGTTGTGCCACAATTTTACAATCGTTGAATCTGATAACGGATTGTTACATACGCAACCGTGGTTTTTTTTTGTTGAAGAAGTATTTAAAAGAAATATTGAAGAAATAATTCTTCGATGGATAATGCTGAGCACCATGTACAGTAAATTATACGTTGTGTGTTTTTATACGTCTGTAACTTACAGAGCAATGGAAATAAATAGGAACGAATTATCCAAGCGTTTAAAAATTAATTATACGGAAGTTGGGTACGATGATTTTCTAGAAATAATAGATAATTACTATCCTGGCGGAATATTCGAATAACTGAAACTTATTTATCTATTTATCTTAGATCAAGATTCAGCCAATTCAATTTCAAATAATGTTCAACTTCGCTACATAAATACTCTGTAATCACTTTTTTCACCTTACGTATTAATCCTTATAAAAATTGTAATATTTCTTTTCGGTTTATTCATATATAGTACTGAACTGAAATCATTTATTTTTCAAATCATTTCAGATTAACGCTTTTAACACTAGATTTATGGAACGAAGATCAATCTGACTCATATTGACTTTTATAAACATTATTTGCCAATATTCAGATCGATTTTGATTTATACAGATACGTAAACATAAATTGTCTACTTTTAAACCTATAATTTCCAAACTCTTAACGAAGGAATATTAGTTTCTATACAAGCGATAGAATAAACTGTAAATGTCCTTAAATCTAGTGATAAGAGATGAATAAGTACAGGTTGTAATGATTTTCACGAGTGAGGTTGTTCTACTGTTAAAGTAGAGAAAACGATCCGTGGACCGGTTTCGACAGGTAAAATATCGCGAGATAAATTCGAACGGAGATTAAGGCGAATTAAAAGCTTATCGTCGCTCGATTTCTTATCGCGGAAATATTGCCATTCTCCTTCGCGTAGAATCGAGGAACGATCGTGCTTCCCCGAGAGAATCGAATGTTTTCAAAAAACGGATTCTGCAAATGCGATTCTAATCGATTCCCGCGATACATTCCGATGCATAATTCGTTGGGGGAAGAGAAAAGGAGGAGAATGATTAAACATGGACGTTAAACAGGCACGATAACGGTACATATTTACGGCAAACAAGATTTTAATAAGATGTGCCATTTTAATCTAGATAAATGAACATATATTCTTTTAATACATACAATATTATTGAGTGCCATTTTTAAAGTGTTATTTTCCAATCTTTACGAATAGATTTTATTTACAAACACGATCGAAATGCAACGCAGTCTTAGCAACAACAATTAATAAATTAATTGAAAGGGTTAAACAGTAAATATACGCCCACAAACAAGACGAATAAAATAATATTAATTACTACTTTGTTCATTATCCCGATAATATACAAAATTGTATTAGACTCAATACGAACATTGAATTCGAGAAATCAAAGTGCTATATATCTTTTTTACATATGAATTAAACATTACTTTTTCATTATTCATCGTTAATCTTCGGTGTAAAAGTGTACATAGAATAGACATCAAGATGTTTTCTTCCCTTAATAAATCATTAACGATAAAGTAATCGTATCGATCATAGATACGAAATAAATCATGGGGCAAGGGGTTAATTCGCAGTATCCTTCACAGGAAGTACCATTCTTTAGAGAAACTTCCACCAAACAAGATTTTATATTTCCACGATCTTATTCAAGATTTCGTATAAAACATACTATTCACTGATCACCGGCGAAGATAATTAGTATAATAATAATTACAGTAGTCTACGATGGTCGAAGGAGGAGGAAAACCGAAAAAATTCTTTCATAGATTCAGGGAACGATTAGCGACTGACCTAACGCACAGTTCACGGCGGCTAGAGGTCGCGGGGCAATCGCTCCGACTAGACTTTGTATGTAAACAACAATTATCTCCAGTGACATTCGCGATTAGACGCGGTACGCGCGGTCGATGGCCATTTTAGATCTTTATCGGCGGTGATACCGATAACGAGCGAGGAGGTGGGGGTCCTGCAAGTTGTCCGAGAGGTCTGCCCGGTTCCTTAACGATCTCGTTGGAATTTCTCGGTTCGGTCGCGTCGCGGGACGAGCCTCGCGTCATTTCGACTCCGTTGGGCAAAGTAGTCCGGGCAAAGGCCTCGGAGAAGAATCTTTGGCCGTTATGACCCGCGAGCTATACGAACGATCGCTCGACGTTCCACAACGCTTGTTCGCGCGATAATTAAAATGTTTCCTAGGAGCCCGGCTCGACAATCTATTCAACCAACAGGTGTAACCCATTTGCATCGCTAAGTGGAATATTCCGCGAAATATTCCGATGCAGAATAATCTATGACTTAAGGTTAATTAATATTCTTCCAGCGGAATATTTCGTAATTTTCGTATTGTTCCGAATGTTGTGTTTATTATTAATACGTAATATAGCGTTTTGAAATATTTATTATTGTTAGCTGGTAGTATAGGGGAGTAGCAAATGTTCGAACTAAAATAAGTTGTGATTAGCTTGATGAAATTATGAGCACGTAGGTTATTCGAAGTATTCGAGGGTTAATTAATAAATTGTGGTAACTATGATATTCGATAAGGTTTTGTACAAAACCTTCAATACATGAAGTTCCACACAACAGATACTACTTGTTAAAAATATTCGTTAAATTAAAAATGCTCTTATCTTGTTTATTAGATAAGCTACTCAATCGTATCTTTAGCTCCGATATAATTAAAACGAATAATTCGACCCGAGATAAATGATAAAGTAAGAACGAAGAAAACAATAGTTAGCAACGTCTACTTCCTTTGTAATATTCCCTTTTCCTCCAAAGTGTCAATTACTATGATTAAATAATTTTTAGTACATGTGCTTAGAAAGTAGTTTAAGAGTGTTCTGTTAACAGAAAAGAGGAACGAACGGGTCTTGTGGTTCGTTGTAACCAAACGTTTCGCTAGAAAGCGTCAATCGAGATGGAGAACATGTCCCGGCCAGCATAAAATTCGAACAAAAATGAACGTTCGGCCGTTCTTGCAACGTCCAGTACGTGCTCCTCTTTATAAACGAATATCTTCCCGCGCGCCGCGTGTACCAAATATGTGGCCGTGCAACGAAGTTTGGTATGCAGGGCCCGGTTTTATTTACTCTCTTCCTCTGACCAGTCGGACGAGTGTCGCTCGATATTCTCCTTTTTTCGCCGGACTTCGGGTAAATTGCTTTTCGGCGATTTCCCTTTGACGAGAAGAGGAGCCACGGCTGAAATTGGCCTTAAATCGCTAAAGAATTTAGGGTGGAAGAATGTCATAGAGCGTTCTACAGAAATTGAGCTAAATTTAAACGAAATTTAATCAAGTTATCTGAACGTCGCCCCGCGATTCGTTCGACGGCGGACATAGTTACGAATATTCTTATTATCTGTACCACTGAATCGCGGAGTATCGAATTCGATATTTCTCAATTGCTTTTATTACGCAATTGCGAAGAAAGTTCGGGACAGATTCCTTCTTTGTAGTTTCATTTTGGCAGTGGATTGCTGCCTCCATGAAATCGCGAGGTTTGTTTGTTTATTACGCGAAGGAGACTCTTAATTGAAGTCTCGAGAGCTTTGAATTTTAATATTGTATAATCTTGAAGTTTCTTGTTGCTTTTCGTATTTTTAAGTGAATTTGAATACGAAAGATCAATTGAAAGTTTCTGTTCTCGTGGAAATATAAC